AAATCAAGAAAAGAACCTAAGGGAGTACTTTAAACAAAGCGCAGTGCCGTGTCATAAGATAATCTGCAATCTCGATCGCGGGCACACTGCTCTACAATTAGCCTCTCATGAAACTGCGCCAATCTTTGTTACCGACAAAGACCGCATGGAAGAATGGAAGTCAAAAGCATTACATGGAAGGTTTTTTCACCAGCTTCAGCAGACTGAAATAGATAAATCTTTGTCTGTTAGCTGGCTGGTAGGAGGAAGTCTGTTTCCCGAGACTGAAGGTTTTTTAACTGCAATCCAGGACCAGGTTATAGCTACCAGATCCTACTGGCGACACGTCTTGAAGCAACAGAATGTATCGGACAAATGTAGGCTCTGTGCAAGCACATATGAGTCCATTCAACACATAACTGGAGGCTGCGGAGCTCTTGCAGGTACAGAATATCTAAAAAGACATGACGATGTTGCCAAAGTCTATCACCAGGCAATTGGTCTAAAAATTAAATTATTAAACGACTCGAAGCCCTACTATAAATATTGCCCTAAAGGTATTTGCCAGAAAGATGACTTAAAATTATATTGGAACCAATCGTTCATAACAGACCATCTCGTGATCCACAACAGACCTGATATTGTATTAATTGACGGTAATATTAAGGTGGCTGAAATTATAGATATAGCTGTGCCAAATGACGGAAACATTAACTCAGTCTGCGCAGAAAAAATTCGGAAATATCAAGGTCTAGCAGCTGAGTTAAAAAGTTTGTATAAACATAATAAAGTAACCGTTAGGGGCATCGTGATCTCCAGCAATGGCCTGGTACCGGTGTCTACTGTGGAAGCTACTGACAGGCTGGGCCTCCCAACTCATGTAATAAAGGAAGCTCAGAAAGCGGTGCTGCTGAATACTGCCAGAATTGTAAGAAGCTTTCTCAACATTCAATAGTAATTAAAATTGAACATACCTGAGGTGGTTGGAGTTGATTCTCCCCCTCTCAAGTAAACAAAAAAAAAACCTTTTGTAGAAGTGTTGACAAATATAATAATAATAATAAATTTAATGTAAATTACCAAAATTTACAGGTAATTTTGGCTGACCTAATAGGTCCCCAACTATTACATAATTTAAACACCATTGTATATGTGGAAAATAAAGAGATAATAATAATAATAATAATAATAACCTTTATTTGTGCATACAATGAAAAAACAATGGATAAAAATATACAAAATCTCTTATATGTACTAAATCAACTTAGTTGAGGTTTTGAGTTCGATTTTTTTTTTTTTTTTTTTTTTTTTTTATGACTTTCTTGTAACCACAGTAATGAACCTGTCCCATCCTTTTCCATTATTTCCTCTCAATAAAGCTTAAAGAAATAATCTGCTCTATGCACTATAGCTAAACAATCAATTTTTACATGGGACCTTTTGCACTTACAGTAATGATATGCTTGTTCAGTATACATTGTATTTTTTTTTTTTTTTTTAAGGATAATCAAATATGGAATCTTCAAATACGGCACTCTTTCACATTTTAATATTAGTTGATAAAGGAAATTCGTGGATATCAAACCCGCAAATGTTGAAGAGTAACTGTTTTTCCGAATCGGCTTCTACCAGAGATATTATCCTACCACGAAAAATTGTATACCTTGTAATATTTTAATATTTTAACCAATGAAACCGGTGAGGAAGCTATACTGACCTTACTTGGCAGAAGTTTTTAGAGATGTTCTGAAAACTAAGGCGACGTTTTACAGACATGTAATAATTTACTAAAAAGAGAGAAATTTAAATCAAGTGCATATAATTAAATAAACAACGGAGCAGAATATTTCATAGTAGTTTATCGTTTCCAAATTGATATAACAAAAAAAATTAAAATTTAAATCTTTTTTATTTTATTAAGTCTTGAAATAATGGTTATGAATATTTTCTCTGTCTGTATAAATGGTTGTTATCTGGGCTTATGAAACAAAATGGCCTGATGGTAGTAATGTAAAGTTCCGAGGATATTTCTGGGATGACTTGTAACTTTGAATTGTGCTACATCTGAATCAAATCGCCTTAGTAGTTTTAAACCTTTTCAATAAACATTCATTATTTCAATAAACAAATCAAATACATCAGTAATAAAAGTTATAAATAATAAAACTAAAACATGAAAAATGAAATGTTTACGGCGTACTACATAACAAAATCTGGTGCGCGCATCACACAACTTTTACTTACCAAAATTCTTGTCTGCCGAAATTGGGTTATTACAAGAAGTTTTTGAAGCGCATTTTTAATGCCGCTAAGCTGTAAACAACATGTTTTTTATTTCGATATTATTCATCAATACAAAAATCATTAAGACCGAAACAATAACCTAAACTCTATTTATAATATCGATTTAGCCTTCGATGTAACTGCATCAATCTATTTAAATCACATAACTCCAGTCCCTGAATTCAATAGACTAAGGGAAATTTGAAAGTATATTTAATTATGAATAAGTAAGGATCGTACTACATAATAAAATTAGAGTTACTAAATCTCTATACATTTTTACATGTATTTAAATTCTTATTTTTTACCCTTGGAAAATATACCAAAATACAGTTAGTAGCTTTTAAACATAGCATCGATAGGTCAAAAGTCGTCACATTAATTGTAAGTCTATAATATTGTGAATTCACAAAGGGAAATTTTTTTGTAATAAATCGACGATTTATACATGGTAATTTAAATGTTATAGCGGATCTTGAGTTATTAAACTACAGTAAATGTATTTAATGTTATAAACATATGTTTTACACATCTATGAAATATTTTTAAATTTCACTTCATTCTATACATAAGTTCAATAACAAAGCTTTTAGAACAATGTTATTGACTTGATCCGGTGGATTTTAAATACATTTTTTCAAACTTAAAAAAAAGGTAAAATTTTACATATATAAGTAAAATTCATTCAATTTCCTTGGAAACATGTGATTTCTGTTAATTAATATTAGTATATACAAACTATTATTTATCATTTTTCGCCACATTCTACGACTTTCTATATTAGATATTGTTTTTTCTTTAATTATCCGCTTTCCAACGATACATTGTACGTGTAACTTCTGACTAGTATTTCCTCAAATTCATTTCATATATAATAAAACATTTCCCCCTTTTTCTCCAGTTTCTAAGTATCTAATTCTTTCATACTTTATATTTATTCATTTTTTATAGTTACTGTCAATAAAAAAGAGTTAATTTTTTTAATAAACCAAATTACAGGTACTGTAGAGGAAGATGTATATGAACATTGAGCATTTAAGCCATGTAAAGTTACATCAATGTGGTCAATACGTAGCTGATATTAAAAACAACTTAGTTAGGGCTTAGTTAGGTTTCTCCTATCTAAAAAATTACAGTAATATCTCTATATTAATAAGCACTTAGCTCTATAGTAACTGCAAGACTGTTAAGAGACTAAGACCAAGACCATGACCAAGAGTGAATTTGCAAGACCAAGCCTCATTTCGGTCTCGTATTTTGGCAACACACTGATATAACGAGTTTGATCAAAATCTGAACAGCCGTTTTCGAGAAAATCGTATAAATGTGTAACATCGATTACATAAAGTGCCACTTCCAGTTAGCCGATTTTGACGAAAAAGTTACTGTAACATCTCAGGTATATACAAATCTAAATATGCAATTTCACTTTTATACAACTTTCCGTTATTAAGCTAGACTGGTCACGTACACACACACTCACGCGCGCGCGTAAAGACCATTTTGCGGGACTTAGTTATTTGGACTCAGGAGAAATCAAAACATGTATTTCCTTTGAAAACTCAGATTCAAAAATGTTCACTATCGCAATACTGTCCCTTACTATATATAGGTAAGTGAAAGTAAAAATATGTATATTTTGTAAGCGAAGTATTAATGCATTATTAACTTTTATAATTAAAGGTTAATAAGTAAAGGATCAGTATTAACAACAAAAAAAAAAGAATAATTTTTACAAAATAAGTCATACTTTTACCTACTTTTTTCTTTGCAAACTCATTTCTTCATTGGTATGAAAGGAATTTTTTCATTACTTCATCGTCTGAAAAAACCCTTGAAGCATACTTCATGTACATCATTCACGTCAAGAATCCTCTACCCACCCCTGCCAGCAACGTCGATAGCGCCGTTCAAAACCAAGGTGAGCTAAGAAATTCCCTTGATGTATATCATTCAGAATTTTAATTTGGCCATTGATTCTTCTTTAGATTTTAAACTGAAAATGAAAGTTTTCCTTTAATATATGGAGAGTGAGTAATTCGGTGGTAGGAAAATGATCTTCTAATGCTCAAGGTACCAGGTTCGAATCCCGGCCCATGGCAGAAAAACTATTAATTCTGTTCCATCAGCAGTGAGGTGAACCTTAAGTCAGGAGACTCCTCCGGGGCAAACCAAGCCTCTATAAAGTGCTTACAATTAATTAAATAATTAATTAAGGGGGAAAACCTGAAGGTTGAGAGTGATCTCAGTCAAATCATCTACTTGCCCAACCGTTGATTGTACAGTATTTTCCTCAATAAGTAGTGAACCCAAGACCCTTCATGGAATAATGTGGAGTACGATTTTTTTTTTTTACAAAGACAAATAATATCTTAATTTTATTTAAATCTTATAAAATTGTTGCAATATATATAAGATCATTGGTACAAGAAATATATTAAATACCTTATACAATTTTTCACAACATAATTGTTAACGTAATTTAACATTTTTATAACATTTCAACTAAACTCTTATTAAATTTGTTAACAACTAGATCAAAAAGAGTTATCAATAACATGGTACAGGTTTTTTTTTTTAATACATGTAATAATCTATTACAACCCTCGAGCCCTGAGCTATTGAGTGTAAAATATGGTGGATATTTTATTGAGCACTTTAGATAAATGCAAAATCTTGAATGACTCATAAAAAGGTAATTGGTGAAACGCTAACAGCAGTATAGTTTGATAAGTAACATTACTTCGGTGAGTCATATTAATGCGAGAAGATATCGATTCTTGGATTGCTATGTTCGTCATTGGTGATAAGTTGGGGTATATCTAGGACCCTCTGACTTTCTCTGTCAAACCACGTGTGGTCATAAACAAGGTGAGGTGATATCTTAATTTATTTATTTATTTGTTTCTTTATTTATATTTATATTGAAAAATATCTCATTTTTTTTCTTCTCTTTTACTTAAAAATAATTCTTAAGGATTGGTAAAATCCGGGCTAAACTGAAAACGAAACATTTAGTACCAATAGTCTTTATCATCAATTTTTTTAAGCACGGAAGGTCTTAAATTAAAACTGAAATACACAACTGTTAAATGAATGAACGGCCGACTTTTCGGGCCGAATTCAGACATTTTTTTTTCCATTTCATTTCTCAAAAAAAAAAAAAAAAAAGTAATGGATGACGCTAAAAGGAGGATCGCAGAGTATATTCTGTTTGTTGACCGATAGCGAGTTACACTCAAAAACTCATTGAATGAAGTATCGGAAATTCACTTGTATTGTGAGTGTGGCAAGTGGCGAATAAAAAGCGATTTGTGAACAGATTTCTTAATTTTCTGAAAATATTATAATGATAATTGCGTGTCTTGTTTCAATTAAATTTACTAAAATCTTTATTAACTTGACGACGTTTCTCAATTATACTTTAATAGATTTTTTTTTCCTTTGTTCTCTTCAAATCTTCATCCACACCGATCATAAATGTGACAAATAAGCATATTTGTTGTTATTATTCGGAAAATGGTATTTAAGGTATGAGGAAAAATAGTAGCGAACAGCACCTCTTATCTGGTGTTACTGTTGCTTCCTTAATTCAGAAAAGGAGGTCTCTTATCCAGTTTCTTTTCAATCGCTTCCTGATGGGCATGTCAGCCATTACTATGTATTTTATAAGTTCATTGTTGTGTCCGTGTAGTTTAATATGGAATCGGGATAAGTAGTCAATCGGGATCAGTAGATCAAGTACCAGTTATAACTATAACATTATTATGATTATTTATTATTGACAATAAGAAAACATTTTAACAGTTTATAGAACTATAAAAAAAATTAAATAAAAGTTCTTCAGAACTTTTATTATACTAAAGCTTTGAGCTTAGGGTATAAGTTAAACTTTTATTTATTTCTGTACTATTTACTATATTTACTATTTATTATATATATATATATATATATATATATATATATATATATATATATATATATAATAAAGAAATAGTAACTGGGATTAGATTACAGATATAATTGTCTTGAACTATATTAATATTAATTGCCTCATTTTCATATTAAGAAACAAAAGCCATATTTTTTAATTTATTGCTTGACGAAAGGAATTACTTTAAAATAGCTCTTTAGAAAATATGACGTAAAAATAAGAGTTTTGTAAAACGTTTAATTAAAATTTCCACATGAAAAATTTCTAGTTACGGAATAACAGAAAATCAATGTAAAATAAAAGTGTTTGCATTTTTAGTAATACATACACACGTTGCAGATCTAACATCGTATTGTTAGGTATTATGTACATTATTGTATTTCTTTACTTCGTAAGCAAAATTTGTACTCATAACTTGCACGTTATGATGCCTTTTTTATTATATCTATATCTATATCAATATTTATATTTATTATCTATTCATAACATATTAATTATTAAATTCCAACACTTATAAATTTACACTCGATTTCAGAATGGGAAACTCATCAAACCTGTGGTTTGCCCTCGCTGTGGTGCTTTATTCTTTTGTCTTACTTGAACAAGCAGTCGGGAAAGAAATACGGTTGCTAACCCAACGCGAACTGCTGAACAACCAAGAAATTCAAAATAAAGTTTCAGAATGGTTGCAAAATGACCGTGCACAACTTATGCGCAAGAAGAGGGCAGATTGCTGCGGACATCTAGGAGATGATAACCAAGACGTTAACAAAGCGAGGGTGAAGATTCAAGACTCGCCATTGCATCAAGACGTGAAAGACCCTGGAAATGCAAGACGTTTGTCAAGACATGCAGGCGAGCCCGCCGTTCCTTTGTTGCAAGATACGAAGCAACAAAAAGAAGTAGCAGCGAGTACTGTCGAAGTTACTACTACCACCTCTTAAAAAGTTGTGAAAATAAAATTGAAAAACAATCTATGACACGGGATTTGGACAGGCATAATTACTATTATTACTATTACTATTATTATTATCTAAACAACTAAAAAAAAAAAAGTTTTACATATAATACTATTTTGTGATATGGCAATTTAATACTGAGTATATAATGCTTATTTGAAAATCAATTAATAAATGATGTGATGCTAATAAAATTTGTGATGGATCTAATATTTAGTCTTTCTTTTCTTAAACATAATTGAATTTGAGGGGTGAAGAGGAATATATGTTGTGTCTCACTTGTCAATGACATTTCAAACACAAAAGTTTATTTGATGCCTCGGCCTGATTACGAACGCAAAAGGAGTTAAGATAAATTTTTGTCACGATTTTTATCAGATAAGAAGTTATTGCATTGAGAAAGCAGTGATTAAAGTTAATAAGGTCGATGATAAAAGGGACTTTAAGTTTACTAAGGTCAATAGGGACTTTTATGAGGTCTAATAATGGCCGCTGGACTCCTACAGTTACAGTACTTTTACACGAGCAGCATATAATAAATAAATAATAAATTTAACCACTCTCATCTTAAAAAAAAAAATGTCTTCTTTTCAATGTTTACTCATAATTTAATTATTTTGAATAGTTTTTGAGAAATTCCTTGATATTCAATAAAAAACGTGACCAACTCCTTTTCCGTTCGGAATTGAGCCACGCATCAAATGAACTTTTTTTTATTTGAAACTTTGTCTAAAATTACTCCCTAGAGTTTGGTCATTAACAACTGAGACACACTGTATATCCAGGGTAACTCGCAATAAAAAATATTGCTAAGTATAATTCACTATGAAGTATATTATTTAAAAGATCTTATTTTCCTAAGATTGCTAAGGCTTCTCAGGTACTTCAAGAACACCTATATGATATAGCTTGTTGAGCTAAAAGATGGAGAATAAAAATGAACTAGTCCAAGAGCCAATATGTTTCATTTACACTTAAACATGACTCTTTTCCAGTGTTCTTTAATAATATCGCTCTACCACGTTCAAAAACTTTACGATATTTGGGTCTCGACTTGGACAAACGACTGACATGGACATATCACATAAAACAAAAAAGAAAAGAACTTAATCAGCCGTACGGACTTCTTTCTAGGCTACTTGACAGACGTTTTAAATTATCTGTGACTAATAAATTACTATTTACAAAGTCCTCATTAAACCACTTTGGACATATGGGATCAAACTATGGGGAACAGCAAAGAAATCAAATATAAAAATCATCCAGTCATTCCAGTCAAAAGTCATTCGGAAAATTGTAGACGCACCCTTTTATGTTTCAAAACACACGTTACACACTGACCTTAACACTCCTTTCATCGCGGCAAATGCCACTGACCGCTTTAATGATTTTCATGACAGACTGACTCTAAATTCCAATTCACTTACTCATGCTCTATCTACTGCCACAAATCCATATAATCCGCCCAGAAGACTGCTGAGGTGCTGGCCAAGAGACTTATTGCATTAAGCTACTTGCTGCATTATCTTTTTTTTACTTCCACTTACGTATATATGTAATATATAGTAAAGGTAAGTATTGCGATCGTGGATTTTTTTTTTAATGTGTGTTATTATGTATGTGTTATTTTACTACTGTTTTTTTTTTTTTTGTCTTTTTGTTTTGTTATTACTATTCTTTTTTTATGCTATCATTTCTTCTCCTTGATATCATATTTGCTGAATACCGAGGTAGATGACAAATTTAAGGTGAGCCAGGAATATGTATAACTAATAAAATAAATAAATTTTACTACCTGCATAGAGAATTTTTTCCTCTCAAATGACATTGAGAAAAAGAAATATGACTGTTTTAAATAAAATATGCCCATTAGTAAAAATGTTCCTGAATAAATTAGCATTCATCAGGTAGAAAACAATTTCAAAATCGACACTTCGTGAGAAATCAATAGTTGTAGATGCATTAACAAAATTAAGTAATCAACTTGTCTAATGCTACAATACTCCAACAATCAATTTCGAATAGTTCGAAATATGAAATAAGTAATCGATTTATTCCAACTATCCATCTTAAAGAGATGACATTTTTCAGAAATTCAGTATCAGAAATAAATATTAATAATACAAAGCTAAATTAAAATATGATGATGTATATGTACTAAAAACTTTTGCCTGGTTGACCCGATTTATTTTGATTTGGTAATGAACCATTGATATACTACACAAATTATATTAAGTGTGCCCAGTTGGCCGAATTTAGCGAATAAAACAAGTTTTTTTCTTAGTGAAAGCGTGCACATTTTCGTTACTCTCTCTCTCATTTTCTTTTAGCCAATATTTGTATATTAATAATTTACTGAGAAAAGAAGAGAGATCGTTGGGGAAAAATGTTTATGTAAAGAACTGTCTGACCCACGGCCGTACCAGAGGCAATATTTAACTTTTTATATTTATAAATATAAAAGATACAGAAAAAAGTTTCTTCTACCTCACCGAGGGAGCGAAAACCCTAAGCATTTTCTCTTGCTGTTTACCGACGTCCTCGTCGTAACTAACCACTTCATTATAAGGGTTCTCTAGATCAATACTTTGAGAGTTTTTCTGCTACTTCGGTGGTAAAATAGGATTTAAAAAGTGTAAAATGTTTGAAAAAAAACTCATCGTTTAACAACCAAAAGGAACAACCATACATTCTTGGCAGTTTCTTCGAACAGGATGAACCCGATTCATTCCCGGTCGAGGCTCGTTTCAAAATATAGCAAAACATTAGTAAAATATCTGGTATTGAATTATCCGAAATTATACTTCTATTCCGCGGTCTTTCTAATGGAATTCAGTAAATTTCAATCCACAATCTTCCATAGATTCGAATCATTAAACAACAGTGATGGCGTAAACGAATGCCTTGAACGTAGTTTCCTTGAAGTTGAAGAAAGTTTTTTTTTAAATCTGGAATCTAACAGCATAAAATATCGCAAATTGATTTAATCTTAATAATGCATGGTTGTAGAAACATCCTGAACTAACATAGGAAAAATAGAAGGTTGTAAGTTTTTAAAAATGACCGTTGTTTTCTCCGGTTAATTCTGTAAATTTGAGCGTAGATTTGGAAAATCTCAACAAATATTGATGTATTTCGGCAAAGGCTGAAAAGGAATAGGATGAGAGAACTCCTAATGTGACAATAAAATTTCTCTAAATGTCTGGAGTATGGACGGCTGGGTGCTGCCTACCCATACGATCAATAATGAATTTTCGCTCGTTGACTGGGAAAGTTTAAGTGTTAATATAAGTGTAAATTTAAGAAAAAAATGTAAAAATGATCGAATCATAAAAAAAAAAAATAAAAAAGAAGGAAATTCAATTCTATCTACCCTACGAGAATGCACTTCTATATCTACTTAAATTTAAACTTGGTAGATTTATAGAAAAATTGACATCTACGAATATTTAAACTTGGTGTTTCCAGATATAATTTCCGTATTTCTGTATTCCTTTTTTTTTTTTTTTTTTAATTCAAATATATTTCTATTTAGACACTTTTAGTTATTGAAGTTAGTAGCAATTTAATGTTATTTTCATAATATATGATTGATTACATGGTATCATTTCGAATCAATTTACAATTGAGACACTTAAATTAAACACACTTCAAAAATTGTCATCTTTTCAAATTACCCGTAAAACACTATTAAAATAATCTATCACTCACCTGAAATTAATCAGCTACCTAATTGTATTTACGACAAAAATAGGCGCTCTTCTTCGGAGAAACACTTTTTTTAATTTCAATGGGCATGTCTAACATTTTGACACTGAGTGTATAATACATTTTTTTTCAGTGTTTTGATCTTAAATTGTTTCAAAACATTCACCAGATTTAAATGAGTAATTACATCCGTCAAAGTTAAAAACCGATCATGGCATAGGCTCAAAAAATCTTTAGGTGCCTTTTAGCGGATTAATTAAATACATTTTCCACAGTGATTTAAGCTAAATTTTTCAAAACACTAAGGGGATCTCACCAAATAATTTGAGCCATCAAACTTAAAAAATGATCCATCCTTTGGCTCAAAACAACGTTACAAAGCTTTTTCCAAATTGACTAAACACATTGAATTTAATAACGGATCGGTATTTTTGGCTCAAATTGCTTCAAAACATTCAGAGGACCTCACGGAATAATTTGAGTAATCAAACTTAAACATTAATCCAGCCGCTCGCTCAGAAAAGAATTTCATAGCTTTTAGCGGACGACCCTTACACATAATCTGGTGTATATAGTAAACACAAAAAGTGTTTAAGTTAAGATATAACACAAGTTCTATCAATTTAAAATGTTAATAATTAAGTATAGATTGTCAAAGTTAAAGCTCTAAAGATGCTCACGCCTTTTTAAAAAAAAATATCCTACTGATATATTTTTCCAAGCCATTATTTTTATATTTCAATAACTTCTTTATAAATTTCCGGCCGACCTCAGACTAGAATAGTAGACTGGAGTGGTGGCGTAATGTTTCAACCACCCCGGCTTGGGACACGTTAAAAGCCACCCTCCCAAGAAATAACCCAATTTCTCATTATGGTCCCTAGTGGAAGGATAAATAACAGAGGATTAGGCCACCAAACTCTTCCCCTCACCCTCTATCTCTCCCTCCCTCTGTCTCTTTCTACTCTTATTTAATTAATGTTTATTTAAAGTCTGCTATGGTGTGTTTCCACTCGACTCTAGCCTTATGAAATGAACCTCCAGAAATTTAACAAAGGAGTTAAGTTAATTGGACTGGTTGCTAATAGTTATAAGCTTTCGTATATTATATTAGTATTCAAGTATAGAAACAATAGAATTTGAATAAACTAACTACATATATTTCTTTGTTTAGTTAGGGCTTAACGTTTTGAAATACTACAACTAGAACAGAGAGCACAAATTACCTTAGACATTAAATAGAATTTATACTTTCGGGCACCAGTAGCTGCAGACCATGGCATCTGATGGATATGCGGCCTAAGTATTTCTGTAGTCCTGGCACTTCATGCAATGTGGGATGCCAAGGTTATTCGCAATGACCATTCAAGGTGCACTTCCAACACCCACATTTTTGTTACACCACCATTCCTGAATCTAAAGGAGAATATTTGCCGGCATCATTCCTTCACGAGCGAAGTATGGATCGACTTATTTGTTTTGCTCGTAAGAGCAGAATTAATG